CTTAATTAGGGCTAAAGGGGGCTTTTCTGCATCATTTCACATCTCTAAATGAGATGCATAAGATAAATGACTGTGATAAAGACTGACCTGCAAATGCGAGTAAACTGACTTTCTAATCCACCGTCCACGGTCACAGTCATGAAATGGATACCCCAACCTTCCCCGCCTCCCTCCCCTAGTGAAACGCTCAGCGGAGGAGTGACTGGACCGTAGGCTGCAGAGACATGGCTGAGGGAATCCCTGCACAGACCTAGAGTAGTACCTATCACCAAGCTGTCAAACCACTCTAACCAGTCAGACGCAGCAAAAGCCTGTGTTCACGGGTCATTCCGCATCTTATCCGAGGAACAAAAATAATAACAGGGGGGGGAAACCCGGAAAAGATGAGCTTCATTGTGTGATGCGGCTGATTTCTCCAAAAGCAGAAGCCCGCAGCAGTAAAACACACACGCGGGGACACGTACTGGAAACAAAACGTGGGAATGATGCTGGAAATAAATGCGCATATAATTTACCTGAGCGGTTGTCAGTGATGAGCAAGTGTCGGATGCTGACCCTTTTTCTTCTTCTTCTTCTTCTGATGCTGCTGCTTCTTCTTCTGCGCTCAGGTCCACGATCCTCTTCTCAGCCTCCCAGCCAAGCCCCCCATCTCTCTCTCTCTCTCTCTCTCTCTCTCTCTCTCTCTGTTTCCACAATGCATGCCGGGAACGTGAGGGGTGTAATGCATTCATTATGCAGTCGGTCCATGAAGCTTGATTGAGGGAGCGTTTCTTAGCAAAGCCAAATGGAATAAAAAAGGGAATCAGGAAAAAGGCTAGAGAATTTAAAAAAGAATCACAAGATTTTTATTCTTGTGATTTATTTAAAGACTGTTTTGTTTGTCTTTGCACTCAGAAATGTAGTTGAAATTCCTCTTATATGTGTTTTATATCTAAAAAATTCATTTAAAGGATAAAGTTTTTTGATTATAGACAAATGGTGGTATTTTCTCATTCAGGCTGTCATGGGATACACACTTAAAACCAGAGTTGCCACAGCTGGGCCACACCGGTGAATGATAGCCTATAGCCTATTTAGTTTATGATGAGTCTGAACATAAGCTGATCATGTTTTAGTTTAAAACTAAATTATATATTAGTAATGGATCAAATAACTACGTGCAATTTAAAAAGGGGCACCCACAGACTATTATCGCATAACTCTGCAGTTCCCTCTGTTAAACCCAACTCTAACCTCTCATGAATAAACAGACAGATACAGTTAGCTACTAGCTAGTGAACATGACGGCACATTTACATTTACATTTACTCATTTGGCAGACGCTTTTATCCAAAGCGACTTAGATTTAGCAGCCAGATATTTTCCTCAGGACTTAGTGAAGACAAGCAAAAGTTGAGAGTGTAAATATTGGACATTTACCAAGTGGACAAAAACAATGTCACACATGTTAACATGTTAACCTTGCTCTTTCTTTGCTGAATATGTAGGCTAGATAAGCAACTGTTCGCTAACATGTTCACCACATCAACTTTAATGTAGGCTATGTCGATGTTTTTGTAGCACCGAGCATTGAAGACATGAAAAAGGTGGTTTTGAATGTCTGATCATTCTCTGATCAGATCTGCTGGAGTTGAAATCGAAGTTTTTGTCAGTTTCGGACTGTTTATTTTCTTCAGCAACTGCTCATGTTAAACACAGAGTCTAGCTATGTTATAATAGCTTGTTGTGCTGCCCCAAAGTAGCCAAAAAATCAGTTTTTACAGGTTTAAGGAAGGAAAACATTGTCAAAATGTTGTTTAATTGTGGCTTCAAGACAACCTTTTCAAATGACCACAAATGTATGTATCAAAGCATTGAAAAAATACTTACGACACATAGGTCTCATTTCTCTGGATCATTATGTAGCACATACAAATTTGGTGCACGCTGAAATATTAGAACATATGATGCTTTTTCTGCTTTCTGATGTTCATAATTTGCAATAATCTCTGACACCTATTTTCAGCTAAGATGCTCTAACAAAACCACTGTACGCTACCTGTTTAGCATCAAACAGCTAGTTAGTGATAAGCTACTGAACAAAGCCACTAAAAATCAGATTTGTCCCTTAGGAGTTGGTGGAGACCAAACAAGAGCTAAAAGGAGAGTAAATATCAAACGTATACATTCATCAGGTGGACACAAACATGGCTCCAAATGAAAGCTAATGTTGCTGCGTGTCTGCTTGATGAATCAACATTGTTTTTACAGGCTTTTGCTGCTGAGGCCAATAAATCAACTAATACTGCTGTAATGGTTTAAATGGTCACGGTTCCCTCGATGTACTTGCTTTCCATCATGAACATTTACTACATTTTTGACAAAATAATTAATGAACGAATCATTACTGAAAAGTTAGATGATTGAGATGTTTGGCACACTGATATCAGCAGAGGTAAATATTTGATGACGGCACTCAGGCACAGAAGAACAAGTCAACCCACAGCTGTCACTGACGTAACAGAGTGTAATGACAACATCATTAAACTCATTTGACCCACAGTCCGCAGGCATTATGCCCCCACTGAGTAGCTCTAGTCAGTTTGCTGAGAGTTTTCTAGCCTGAAAGAGTAATTCTCTGTATGGTCAAAAGCCAATTTCTTTAAACTGCAGGCTGATACCATAAAGGTATTATTTGTTATTTGGGTAATATTTTAAATATTTGATCATATGTTTCATTTCAGAAGTTCAGTGGGTATCTAACCGATCATATGTCAGAATGTCTGAATAATAATGAGAACATACAGAGCCTAATTATGACGCTGGATTAAAAGGATACTTTTAATTAATTAATGGATAACTGAGTGAGTGAATGTAAAAATCCTGGGATTGTATTGGAGCTAATTACACTTTAATGAGAAGCTGTCCAGCTTCCAGCCCTCTGGAGGTAAACAGCAAAATTCACAGATGCTGCGATAGCAACTCATTATTTCCACATTTAATGTACACTGCAGTCCAACCCTTTGTCAGCATTAAGTTGGATATGTATAGCCAAATACCAAATCAACTCAGTTTGTAGATAGGCCTATGTTTTAGCTGCTCTTTGGCCGTTAAATGGTGTCGGCATCGATTCATGGCAAAAGGCAACCCTCTGCTATCAATGTATGTCTTTGTAAAAAGAAAAGAGACAAGAACAGAGACACAGAGGCTGCACCCCAAAGTGCAGTACAAATATTGTCATCCAATCACAGCAAGATACATCTGCATGCTGCAGCTGCACAAAAATAGAAACTAAGATGAGGGTGCAGTCTCAGAGGATTAGTAGTTTCTATCTCACAGCAGTAGTTTATCCACATTACATTAGGACCACATTTCCCATGTTCCCAATTGCTTCCTGTCCTTCTGTCCCAGAAGGGGAGAGAGTTTTACTGAAATAGCACATTAACTCGAAGTATAGGTATGCAATAGTAGAAGTATAAGTCTTAGTAGGACTATACAGGAAAACAAGACTCTCACCAGTTTACTATCATGTTGTGTCATCAATACAGACGTATAGTGGCACAACGGTAATTTCCCATCCCATAAAATGCGGAAGTTATATCTACTGCAATGCTAGCAGCTCTGTAAGCCTGTAGAATACAAGGCTCAGCAGTGCTAAATGCTTACATACTCCCAATTTAGCTTGTTAGCATTTGCTAAACAGCACTGAACACATGAGCTGATGGGAATTGGAGTATTTTTATTTTTAAGTATTATAGTATTGGACACAGTAGACCTCATGATCCTGCTATGAAAAGTTGAGGGATCACCACAGATATTACGATTCATCCTGGGGGTCATATGATTGTCAGAAGCAAGAGAAATTTTATGATAATCCATCCAATAGTTGTTAATACACTGTCTGTACTAAATTTAATGTCAATCCATATGCTAATTTTAGCCTGAACCAAAGTGATGGATTGACTGCCATTGCCATCCCTGGCTAGGCTAAAGAGAAACAATAATGGTTTACCATGGTAGAACAACGCCCGCCTCCAGTTTCTTGCTGTGAAGGAATCCAGCAGATGCCCCCTTATGTAGCCAAATGTAAAATTTGTGTAAAGACTGTGAATGACATGCTGCACGAAGCACCTTTAAAGTTTGAAGTACCAGAATTAAATATAGACAGACTTACCAAAAATACAGCTGTAACCATACACCTTTATTAATCAGCTGATCAACAGGTGCGTTCTTGATCTATTGAGGCTGCACATGCAGCAGATCTGCTGACCGCAGCTGTTACTGGAATCACCACAAACATTTCAGAAACTCAACAAAAACGTCTCCTGCTATCAGCCACATAAAGACCCGCTCGCCCAGGGGTTTTGGCGCTCTACCATTCTTCCATCGGCTGGAACAAAACCATCACGACTCAGCAGAAACATAAACACCTCAAACACTAGGGGTGCACACTAACAAACGGGAAAGGACACATCTTTAATTCATAAGCTCTTGCAATGCAGGAAAAGATTTTCAGATATGCTGAGGCCCGGGAGCTCCACGTAGCCGGCACTGAACGATCTGCTTTGACTGCCAGGAAGCAACAGCCAGGGCAAGACACAGCACATGCCACGGGCACGCATCAGACAGGAAGTAGCTGCTTAATGTCAGAGGATATTTACTGTCACTGGGTGGGCTGTTGCATCCTGCAGGGCACAGCTGCATTGCCTATAGAACAGCCCCATCTTAATGGGCAGTAAATACATAATGAAGCGCTGGTGGCAGCGAATAGATGCAGTGGTTGAGAATCCATCTTTACCCTGGGAATCTTCTCCTTGTAATCTACTGTACCATCAGAAGTGTTTTTGTCTTTTCTGCACAGAAAAGCAGCTGCATGTTTTGAACCAAAGGGGAATAAATGTTCACAGTTACTGTTTTTATACTCAACCACACACAGCCGGGCGGTCAGCCCTCCAGCTCCAACCGCCATCCCCCTGTGCTTGTAAATCCCCTCATCTTAGTTTGGTCATTAATACAAACTGTTCAAAGTTCAAATAAAAACACAATTTTATTTTGAAATGACAGGATTGCAAGAATCAAGAACATGATATTAAACCAGCTGGAATCAGGTCTTATAGGTGTATATCCTGCACACCCAGTACATCATTGACATCAGAAACTTGGTAGTCTACAAGGTCCCTATAACGAGCCCTTATGGTTCTGAAAATGCTAGAGGTCCTGTATATTTATGGAGCTATCTTCTCATTTAAATTCTATTGGCATGGGTATTTTCCAAGTGGGAAACCCCCCGGGTCTGAAAAGTGAAGCCAACGCGGAAGTTCCTTAAACCTGCATTCTTTCTAATGTCCAACACGGGGCGAGTCCAGTGTTTGCAAAATAAGTCAGATTGCATAGTAGTAGATGATAATATATGCCTCCTTCTCACCTGATTTATTACCTCAGGAAACACTTTCCTAATGAGCTTCTAGTCTCCTTTAATACCGCATGATGTTCATCAGTAAATTATGGTCCCATTTAGAGGCAAATAGACAATAAAGCAGGGTATGCTTTAGGGAGAGGCTACCCTGTGATTGACAAGTCACTACCATGGTGACCTGTCAGGTGCAGCAATGTATATTCCTCCACCTCTCTTATCCAAATATGGCGACGGCCAAAGTGCCAAAATTTTGCATATAGTAAAACTCAGTGCTTGAATTAATATCTTAATATTCTTACAGTTATGTAAATCACTCCATGAAGGCGGATAATTTCAGAAGCATAGTATAAATCATTGCAGATAGTGTACAAATCAATTGAGCTTTAAGTGTAAATCACTGCATTTTTTAGCAGGGCGAATGAAAAATCAGGGTGCATAACTACAATGAAATCTCACATTAACATGCAAACATTTCCACTGCACTTTGTCAGGAAACACAACAGGAGGCGGTTGCTAGTGTATGTATACTGTGTGTGCGTGAGTTGAGGGGAGGTGGGATGATTTGCAGGCCTAATGTCACAGGAAGCACCGGCAGCCATACTAATCATTTTTTGTGCCCTGCCTCATTTCACTGAGAGGCCCAACTCGACAGATGGTGGCGTTTTAAATTCACTTATGAGACAGACGTGCAGCTCCAGCAGTAAGAAAACAAGGCCATATCCTGCAAACCTGAAATTAAACAGTGTGTCTGTGTGCAGTTAATGATAATATTACATTTATTTTCAAGGCACAGAATCAATAATGTTGAAAACAAAGTACAACAGTTTGGGAAATGTCAAAGTTTTTAGTTGCAGGGGAATCGTAGTGTTAAGCAAATTAACTACACAACACAAAATCTGTGCGTTAAATAATCAATAACCGTACACCCTGAATATTGTGTGAAACAAAAAAGCTTACACACCACAACCTCATTTACAATTTGTGAATAAAGCAATAAATTTCACAACTTATTTTTGAATATCTGCAAGGGATTTTGTCACCCACTACTGGTTGGGGAGCTATGCCGCAGCATCTCTTTCTGCAATAATTACTAGTGGTTTAAATTAATGTTATTGTGATGTATAAACTTTCCTGAGCTATTTTAGTTTCTATTCAGCTGCACATTTTTAATATGCACATAAAAAAAAAAATTGAAAACCTGAAAAGAATGTTACATATTGGTCTGTTTGAGTTGGTGATTTGTTAAAAGCAAAATGCGACAAAGTGCAGTGGAAACCGATTTAGTGAATAAATCAAAGTATACAAAGCATCTCACTTACATTTCGTGTAATTAACATTTCCCGGTTACTGTAGATTTTTTCTATTTGACTGGTTTTCTGGCCACTCTAAACCTCATTCCACACTTTCATAGATATTATTATTATATTTAATCACCAAAATGACCCAAAGCATTCGGCATGAGCCCCATCAAGCTACTTCTAAAGTCATTATCCATTCCAAAAAACATAACCACACCTGCACTCACTTCACGTTTCTCACTAAGCAATGACACATGAATCACCTTTCTTTGCTTTTCGGACTGGGGGAGAAGGTGGAGAAGGTTGAGAAGACATCATGAGCAGGTCATCTAATCTGCTAGATTGGTAATGGTATGGTGATGCGCTGGGGGGGTAAGACGGTGTGCTGGGTTGATAGACTGATGTGGTGGGTTTATAACCGGATGTGGTGGGTTTAGAGACTAATGTGGTGGGTTTATAAACGGATGTGGTGGGTTTATAAACGGATGTGGTGGGTTTATAAACGGATGTGGTGGGTTTATAAACGGATGTGGTGGGTTTAGAAACTGATACGCTGGGTTTAGAAACTGATACGCTGGGTTGGGGCGCTGGTCTCGGAGCTGGTACTCGTCTGGATGCCAGTGCAGACGCAGCACCAAATATGTCATCGAACAGGTCTGTGGTCTTGTACTGCAGAAGGTACTCAGGATAGATCTGGTGCTTCTCAAACACAACAAAGATGGAAGGGTTTATGACGTCGTCTACGCAGCTGTCAAAAAAGTTTATGTCCCCTCCGTCCTTGGAAGGAGGGCGGCGGTAGTCGGAGGACCCTCTGGTGTAGTCTCCCACCAGCAGCCGGGAGATGAACATGGATTTGACATCAGAGTCACCGGTGTAGCTGTGGGAGTATTTGGCATCCCGGGCAAAGTAACTACCTGGGTTTCCACACAGAAAGAAATTAAAATTGGGGGTTGTTGTAATGGCATTATATCGTATGTGGAAAGACTGCAAATAACTACAATAATTAATCTCCAAATTATTTTCTTGAAGAAATTATTTGTCTGGTCATTGTTTGAAGCTGAAATTAGCAAATATTTAGCATTTTTGTTTGACTATTGACTCAAACAATTGTTCGGCCAATTTATTGATTAATTGACAATATTTTTTCAGAATATCAATTATATTGAAATGAAATGAAAGCTTAAATGCCAGAAAGTTTTTGGGCAAACTGTACCTTTAATTTAGTTTTAGTACCTTTTATTAAATAAATTAATAAATTTGTTAATTTAATTTTAGTACCTTTGTACCTTTCTTTGTGAAGTTAACATTTTCGTCTATGACAAAAATGTGAATATTTCTTCAACTCACCTTTGCCAAAAGCAGTTCCATGAGTTCCACAGATTCTCCAGTCAAAGTTGGTGTGGCAGATGACATCTACATGTTTAGAGTCAGTGCCATGGAAAAGTTTTTTTTCTGTCACATTCCTTCCACCGTTGTTGTTCTTCATCTGATTTTTCTGCCTTTATTAAGAAAAAAAGAAAATTAAGAACTTAAATCAAGCAGATGCATTCAGGAATGGGAGCTATCTTAAATAGAAAGCGAGCAAACGCTAGCCACCATAGCTGTAGCAGCCATACCCCATAACTGTGCATTAAAGAGGTGGTATTATGCTTTTGGGCGTTTCCTCTCTCCTTTATTGAGTTATATCTCTTTTTTGTGCATGTAACAGGTTTGCAAAGTGAAAAAGCCCAAAGTCCAGCACAAAGGGATTTCCCATCTCCCACAGAAAGCTCTGCTCTGAACCGCTTGAAAACAGCTCGTTTGTAGTCCAGCCCTTCACTTCCTTTACTTTTGACGTCACAATGAAAACGCGTCATAAAGCTTGCCAAGCGGCTAGCGGGGGTCAGGTACGCCCTCAAACCAAGCTAGTCTGAGCGGAGGCCCTGTGGCTCGACTCGCCTTTGTTTGGGTTTACATAGTAGAAATGTTGTACCTGTACCTGCTTCCAGGTACTTTTTTTCGTATTACCTCACCTCCGTCGAGGTTCCAAGCCAGCTGAGGGATACTAAAATGTAACGTGAAAACACGACAGACTGCTGATTGGTCAGAGAGAATATTTTAATATTCACTGCATCATCATCGCGTGGGCCAGACAGGCCAGCAACAGAAAGTTTTATATTTTACAATTTTCGTATGGAATTTCATCACTAAATCCACTTCTGAGAAGTTTTGAGGTGAAATCAGCTGTGTAGATTTCGAATATTGAAAGTTTTACGAGAAGTGATGGCGGAACAAACATGAAAATCCCATACGTACCACTGAAAGACTTCCCAAAGAGCTTTGTTCTGAATCCTCTCGATGCTGAGGATGTCAAAGCCTCTCATGGTTTTACAGAAAAGAGCTTCAATCTCCTTAAATTCATCTGAGGAGCGCAAGAGGGACACTCGCTGGGAAACACACAGAGAAAGTAAACACAGTTTATTTTATTATGAGACAACACATACTGAATGATCTACAGTAAATATCTAGCAACACTAGGAGGTAATTCCTGTGATTGCTCGTTTGAAAGATTTTACATTGCATGCATTGTTGCCAACCATTTTCCAACGCAAAGCGTCTCGATGGACTGTGACACAAACTGACAGGCTGCAAGTTCTCCACAAGGGGGAGCTGCTGCAGCCAATTAGTGCTACTGCATGTTTTGCTTTTATTACAGCTGCTCAAATTTGCAGTGTTTATTACAGCTCTTGCCTGTCAAGACTGCTGCTCTACATTTGTCTGTGTACAGGTGGTGACAATGTGTGTCCTTGTTAAGATTTCTCAAAGTGTTTTTTATTCCTCCCAGTCAGTCACTTCTCTTCACTTTATTATTTAAAATTTTTGGTTATTGTAAAAAAAGCTAAAAAAACACCACCAACAAAAGACCAAAACCAATTGTGGGTTCATCAGAGATATATGGTTGTATCTTACGACTACCGCTGGGCACTGTGTTTTTTGTCAAATGTTACTGAAACAGGAGCAAACAGTGGATTTGTTAGGGACTATTTTCAGCAGCGGATTAACACACATTTGGATTATTTAGAGTAGCAGGACAGTGTATGCTGGATTGAGTCAAAATAAACTACAGTGCCCATGTTCATGATAACGAAGGAACATGTCAGTGAGTGTAACAGTGTGGCATGCTGAAGAGTTTTCAATAGTTTTGACAATAAAGCTGTATGACACAGAGGAATAATCTATGTCAGACTTTCACTACACTCACTACTGTTTTCAGAATATTTGTTCACAATAAGGAAAGTATAGGTTTTCGCCAGCCTTGTCTCTTAAAATTAACTTGCTTGAATAAATGAATCAATATAGAATCCTTGTTTTTGTTTTTTGAAAAAAGCTTCATTATTGTTATAAATTACTGCCCCCAATTACTATCTAGTAATTTTGAGTTTGTAGTGTATTCATGATTGAAAAATGACAAAAAGATGCAACACTGCATGGATTTCCCCCCCATTCTATCAGAAAATTACACCCAAAAGACAAGCAATTAACAAATACACACAAAGTAAATTATCACGTGCATTTGGCTACTTCTAGTAGTTTTTCAAAAAATATTTAATAGCGTGTACATTCACGTAACTCCTAAGCCAAGACAAGAATGTTACTGAAGCAGTACTTTTAAGTTGTGTTTCTTATGCAGTTTGATGTGTGGCGTATTCACAATACCTTGAATCCTGTTTGAGGAACCTGCGTCTTGTCCCAGGAGTCCGGTATAGCGGTGAAAGTTTGTTGACCAAGAGGCCTTCTGCTGTCAGAAAGCAAACTAGGATCAGGTTTAGTTTATTGTGTAGTGAACAACAGTGTGGATTTGTGCATTTTATATTGAATAAATGTGGAGCTACCCTAAATTCCTTTCTCCTCCCCAGAGAAGATGGGGAGGGGTCAAAGTTGCTTTCTCTAAGTGCTAGCCCGACCATAAAACTGGCACCCTTTTGATTCCGAAGCTGATAACGCGGGGCCTGACTGTTAAACTGACAAAGGGACACGAGCCAGCCATTGGCATCTCCCTGAACAGCCTATCAAAACTTACCCACCACACACGTTTCCGTGGAAACTGACCTTATTCTTTGTTTTATTACCACATCAAAGGGATACTCCTTGTCTCACCTAAGTGTGACATGTTCCAGACACTGAACTTTGGATGACAAAGGACTGCAGTCTCCAAAATACTCAAAGCATTTAATTAAGTTAATTAAATCTTTAGTTGCCTGAATACGTTTGCCTCTATTGGAGTAGTTATGTTAACTGTTGTTGCTATCTGTTGTTGATATTAGTGCTGAAAAGAAGTTACTTGTGCAATGTTTTTATTTTAAGCAAGACACTCCTTCATCTAATGTAATCCAAGCTTTCCTCATGTAACCTGAGCTCCCCCAAGTGGACGAAATAAGTATTACATGCCCTCGTCGGAAATGCGGTTAAATGTATAAAAATCCTGACCACTAATGTGACAATTGTTTCCTGTTACCAAATGCTTAGAACAGTACAACCGTTCAACCATTGAGGTTCGATTGTGGAAAATATTTGATTATAATACGTGCAAATAGATTTCTTTCTTTAGACATTAAGTTTAGAAAGGCAGTTCCTGGGGAAACCTGAGACCCCCTGGGGAACCACGCCCCAGGCAACAAAAGAGCGACACGCGACCTGCTCGCGAGACTCTTCACTCTTAGTCTCTAGACTCTTAGTCTCTTCCCTCTGGATGCTTCGGCACGCGCGTGGCGTGCCTCGCCAGGCAACACGCCCAGACTCGGCCAGCGAAACAAACAGGCCTTTGTTCGCCTGAAGCTACACACCTGAAGTGCCGAGACATCGATCTGCCTTCAGTTTGTTTTATTTTCTTTATTTCTTTTGTTTGTTAAAGTTATGAGTCCGTTAAGTTACACTGGACTAATTCAGGAACGACCAAGTTCCATTTTAAGCCTTTTTCGTCGAGCCAACTTCACCGAGGTCAGACCAAGCCACGTGGTCTCGCCAGCTACAACCAAGGAAACCTGCAACAGCCGAATTGCCAGACGGAGGAGGCATTTTCAATCAGACACGGAGAACCCCGAAGAATCCCTTGCAAAAAGCCAGGATCGGCAGCTAGCGTGGGACCCGTGCAACAGGCCAAAAGCAGACTGTCGACAAGCAGTAAGACTTAACACACGTCCTGTGATCAGATGTCCATTTTAACTCCTAAACTATAGCATTAGTTTACTTTCATTAGCTCTTCTATGCCGTATGAGTCAAATGCTTCCCACAATCGAACCTCCAGGCTCATTGTTCAGCAAATGTTTATGTTCCCTGTATCCAACCATCTTTTATCACCTTAGTTAGAGAATAAATTCACTGTAATATAATCAAGAGCTGTGTGTGTTGCCTATTTATAGTTCCTGCCAAGAGAATTTACCCTTTAGATATGAGACTGACTGACTGACTGATTTAAGAAAATTGAGCGATTATTAACTAACTGATCACTAGTAATAATTGTATAATTATTCAAAACTACCTAGAGGTCCGGAGACTCTAGGATTATAACAACTCCGGTGGTGCCCTTTACGAGGAAATTCTGATTTTATGAATAATAATTCATAATTGGGTATCAATTCTCATAAATTTATTAAAATGCATAACTAATAAATTTAGGTCCACTACATAATGGTGCCCGTGTGAGGCCTTGTGACATACTATAATAATAGACTATACACACAGCCCTGATGCAGAGAAGTTATTGAGAAAAGTTATTGAGTCCCAGAAATGTTTCCCTCCAAAATTTTGCCACTGAAATAATCGCCCAGTAAGTTGCTCCTAGAAACTCTCCTGTCTTCCCTCTTAACTTAACGTTAGTGATGAAAGTGTGTGTGAGTTTTGACCATGTTCTTTGTTGTGAAATGAAATGCTTTGTGCAACTTGTTTGGCCGCCGCGCCATCATTCTTTGTTGTTCAGTACAGAGCTGTAGTGAGCTGAGCTATGAGGACCGAGCTAATGTTAAACTGAATGCATTCCTGTAACGTTACCATATGAGAAATCTGAGCTAAAGCTACACACAATCTCCACTGACGAGTGGATGAAATGCCCTTTTGGTTGAGAGAAACTTAACCGATATTGATAATTTTAAGGCCTAATAAGAGGCAGACAGATTACAGTTGCGCTGTGCCAATGTGATTTGCTTGCGGCTATAAATAACAGTCTGACGCGCTGAGCCGTGGATTGTTATGTTATATGCAAAACTCCGGTATTCTGTTGAAATTAGCTACTTCAACAAATACAGCTGCCCTGCAGTGGAGTCACAGGCGTGAAGACGCCGAGTTTAGCCTGTAGCGTTGTACCTACCGAGCTAAGTTAACGCTAAATCGAAGCTTGAAAGCAAGCTGAGTCATTGAAACAAAGGAGCGAGTCCTTCCCCCATTTTGAGCGGGACTGGTTCTGATTTACTGCCGTTGCTGCAACGACGGTTTGCTAACTGCGTTAGCCTGAAGCTAACAGCTGTTGGGTCCGAGGACCAGAGAGGAAGCTGCTTCTTCTTCTACATTGAGAAATAGGCCGCGCCCGAGGCGGAGCCACAGCTCCCCTACTGGCTGGCGGAATAAATTGCATGCTCTGCATTAAATCGACTTCAGCGTCATCAGTGACAGAGATGAGCGTTTGAATCGAGTGAATTAAACCAGACTTTGGTGATAGATCTTGTTAACTTGAGACACATAAACCATTGTGTTAACTCTCAGATTAAATTAATAAGGAGTGTTACTCCTTAAGTGTAGGATAGAGCACAGGCTCTCCTTTTTCCTTGAATAACCTTTAAAGATCTATTGGGTGTTTGCTTGTAACAAGGTACTGAGCCAGTTTAGTACCCTAACCTAGGATTACACTGAGTAGTTCTATTAATTTTGATGCAATCTTTTATTCAAAGATTCGCTTTTCTAATTTTGATCCAGCTGTATTTGAATAAAAAGCTTTATTCTCATTACTGCTGCAATATCCCTGATTTTGACTTTGTCATTTTGAAGCCTTTTCTGTAGTGGTATTTTTGATCCTTGCAGGAAATAAGATAAATGCAGAATAACATCTTGATTTGAATTTTTGTTAACCTTTTGTTGTTTGGACTGAAACCTACATTAAGCTTGATAAGTTGAATTGATAGCTTTCCAACTAGGCTTTCTTTAATCCTTGTTCACTATAAATGTAATTTGGACTCTGACTTTTATAGCAATTGGAATTTTGATAACTTGATAACAAGGGTAATTAAAAAAACCTTCAGTTTAATCAGCTTTGATTTTTTATTTAATCCACTTTAATCAGCCTGGGATTTTGTTAATGTAACTTTGAACTTTGAGTTTATTCTCATTGCCTTTGAACTTTGATTTTTGAAATTTAATATTTTAATCTCAAAATTTTAATTTTCCCGATTTTGAACTTTGATTCTAAAATTTAATTTTTCAAACAATTTCTTCCAACTTTGACTTTGATCATTAAGGACTTTGAGCTTTGATTGTCAAGCTAGTTGTAACATGAACTTTGAGATTGATCTATAGCATTTAACTTTAATCCCAAGTGTGATTTAATCTCTTTTTCCTATTTTGCCTTCACCCTAAATTTGAATTTTCAGTTTGGTCATTTAAGTCTGACTTGAAAGTCAGCTTTCTCCAACCTGACATTCCCTTTTTCTCAACTAGTAAACACACTAGCTGAAACTCTGTTTAACTGACTGGCTCAGGTCTGCTGTACCAGCTAACACCTGTAGTCCACTTCTGATTTTGTTAAAGCAAATTGTATAACTGAGTCCATAGATTCGATTTAGATCCTTTTCTTCAGATTCCACCTTCCAAATTGACTGAAAGGAACATCAACAGCTCCAGGAAGCTATAGAAGCAACACCCATTTATTTTTGTATTTTTATGCATATCCTCTGAGTTGACACGCTCGTTTGTTGTCTGATTTGGACTCACACCAAAGTCCTTAACCAAACCACTTGAGTACCTGCCTGTGAACATGGCAGACCCACGCTTAGTGGCAGCCAGTGGGGGCGACCCACTGGAACACTTTGACTCCATCTTGGCCCACATGACCGAGACCTTGATACCTGGCTACTCAAGCCAACTACAAGGCACCGATGCGGTGAACCTTGAAACAATTTTTGCAGAGCTGCTAACAACTGCTCTAGCCACTTCCTCAAAGGACAAAGCCTTGTCCCAGATGCTAGGAAAACTAGCTATTGTAATGTCTGCCCAGTCTAAGCACACGCACCAGCTTGAACAGCAGCTGGAAAACACCAGGCAGTCACTAAGTGAAGCGGAAGAACGCATCACTGACCTACAGGCTCCTGCCACCTCCCACAGGAGGGTGGAGTCGATGAGGAGAAAATTGAGCTGCAGGAAAAGACCAATCAGCTTGAACACTCACTCTTTCAGCAAGAACAGGAGTTAGAGTGGACCAAAAGTAAAGTTAAAGACACAACTGAATCTCTTGACCAATCAGAAACCCTCCTTAGACAAGCAGTGGGGGAAATTAAAGAGCTAAAATTACGAGTTAAAGTTTATAGCAAACTTAGAGAAGCTGACCAAAAACGCATGCAAGAAATGCGAAGACAGCTAGAGGACAGGGACAGAGTAACCCAATCCCCGCTACAGCAGGAAAACAAGGAGGAGTTGGCTGATACCAGAAGAGAGTTCCAGCTCTCATGTGAGACAGCCAAACATACTCCCTCCTACAAAACACTCCCACCAGAGAGAGACAAGGCTCGCTCCCCTTTGCCAGCCTCAGGAGGATGGTCTCCACGACCACTCCCACAACTGATCCCACA